CTGTCGGGAAAAATGTTTGTTTTGAAGCCTTTGGAAGGTTATCATTTATAAAAATAGGTATAATATAAATCGAATAAGAAATACACTCACCTTATTTAATCTAAGACTATGAAGGACTGGCAGTTGAATTTTCCCACAGCGTTATGACTAGGTCTCATGTTTTAATTGGAGTTCACTTAGCATTGCTATCCAAAAGGTATTCTCATCCAGGCAAAAGTAAACTGAATTTTCGACCTCGTCCAGTTCTTATCAGCTCCTACACAGAGACTCGAACCCGGGTTATGGCAGTGCAGTGTATAATCTCGACACGTTAACCATCAGGCCACATTGAGATGTGTGACCTTAGGCCACAGGGCAGATGTGGGCTTAAAGGAATACCAGGCATTTTCCCATATCACATTCTTTGCTGGGATTGTCGACGAGGCAATTTTGTATTTGCTATCACAAAAGGCTACACTAATTATTTTCGTTGTTATAATTATGCTTTCGATATTGCCTACTTATAAACGAAAAATAAGTAATGCAGTCGATTGCCGTAACAAATACAACTTTGCTTCATCAACGATACCACCACAGAAGGTGATATATAGAGGCTTGGCTTTCCGTAAATTTCTCTTATGTTCAGTGATCCAGGAGCATATGGTTCATTGTGGCTTATTGGTTAGCATGTAAAGAATATACTCTGCGCTACTCGGATTCGATTCACACTAGGCTGATGATGAAACCCACCGGAGGTCGTAAATGCGGTCTATTCTTGCTTGGAAGAGAATACATTTTGACAAGCAAAGCTATGCGAAATTCAGTAGTCATGAGGCCTAGTTATATCATTGTGTGAAAGTTTTACTCCCAGTTCCTTATCACCTTCAACAAAATATGGTGAACATTGTTCTTATTTAAGATATGCTGGTAGTCGCTAAAGCCTACTTGCAAAAACGGAAATAATACAACTCTGATTACCCTCGGTCAGAATTATTATTTAAAAGTTAGTTTTGCCTGCCTTTGCAACAATTAAATGGTGCAGCAAAATTTATGCTGTCATGAGAATATCTCTCATTTGTTCAGAAAATACATTAGGAAGGCTTTAGTCTTGCAAAATTGCTCATCAATAGAAATATGAAGTGTATCGCATTTAAATGAGTTCACGTCAAAATTATCTTGTAATTTGCGACCTTCCTCAAATCTCTCTTCCCTACTTAACTAAGTCCGATATCAATCCCTGGTCTGTTTTTCTCAGCTGAGGAATCGTATCAGCATCTGCCAGACAACGGAGATGGGCAACAGCTGTGGCACTGTGGTTGGCGCCGTTACCTCGGCTGCCCCCGGGGTAGTCGGTCCCGCCGGGCCGGCTACTGGCGCCTGCTTAGCTGATGAGGTTCTTGCACTCCGAGTGGTCAACGCACAGGGTGATTTGGTAGAGTATTCATCGGAAAGCGAGGTATCTGCAGCAGTGGCCAGTCTTGGCCTACTGGGCATCGTCTATGATGTCACCTTGCGATATGTGGCCCTCTCATTCTCTCAGGTAAATTGTTTGTTCGGCCAAATATAAAGCAAACTCATAACTCTAGTAAACCTAGATGGTGCAAGTTGATGGGGTGATAGGGAAACTCCCCACAGTTCTAAGACTATGTATCACAACTCCCCTCAATTTCACATATATGCCTCACGAAAGGCTATCTCCCCAGGTTGCATGGTAGTTTCGACCTTGCCTAGACTTCATCAGCAATCCCAATCAGAATATAATTGGAGTAGTGCTGTTTATAATTTCGAAAGGTTACCATTACACCACAATGTCACAAATATCAGGGGGTAACAGGACAGAAGTAACTTACAAGGCAAGCCAGGTCCCTACACTGTCACAACTAGATTGGGATTCGTATAAGAGTAGGGTTTCGAGACTACCAGTAAATCAGTGTAATGAGATGTATTCACCCTATTTCG